CGCTGAGGTGTGCGAAACCGTCATACCACGGTAGTGTCCAGTCTCTTCGTGTGCAACAACCTAGTGGCTGACAGGGGTAGAACAGTATACTACGTCGAGTAGAAATAGCGGTATTCGATTGGTAATCGAGACCTTACCAGCTGCATGTTTTGTAAACCAAGCTTGATGCCTCACATGATCCTCAAAGCGGTGAGTTTTAAGCGTCTCATCAGGAGGACGATCAGTTCGTGAACTGTCTCAATGAAGATAGAACCCATTAACACCCTCTACTAACCTTCTAGGATTGTCATGGTTCTCATTTAATTGTGGGCATATTAAGCACAAATGAGCTTTTTTCGGCCCCATGTGTGTCTGCCTTCTTGTGACTTCTTAACTTTGGAGAGCTCTCTTCCCACACATTGAGTGCATTTCCGTTAACTCTGCCTCTCTCAGGCTCCATTATATACGACACCCTCCATTTGGATTTTAATACATTGATCTTATCATTGGGGTTGGCTGGGATCGAACGAAAGCATGGCTTTCAGCGAGCCTTTCCACACCCTTTCCCCAATTTTGGTCAGTAATTTAGAATATTTAAAAACGAATCAGTACATGGTCTTGCCCACGTTTGACCGACGTTCCCCCAAAGATGAATGAATAATCTTCAGCGAGTGCCGGTTCGAAAACTATCTGCCTAATCGTCTACAAACCTTGTTGCACTTCGTATTGTTTATCAAGATTGACAACCAAGCTTTCCGATCCGTTTGAGGTGAATGTACCGTCCTGCTGTGCACGTAGCCAGTGCTTGTCGAATCCACTCATGTTTCTGGTTGGTTGTCTGAACGCCTAACGAACCGGCAACAACCATCCGTTTGTTGACTCGGCTTTCCGAACTGGAGAGGCGTGTGTGCGTGCGACAGACTGTCTACACACACATACGTACACAGACGCCCACCTGAAGGGTCGTTCTGTTTACTGGCCGTTGCACTGTTCCCCCCTCACAAGCACCACCGTACGCTTTTTTTTATTGCACCTTTGTTCTTTGCTCACTCGTGCGTCCAGGTAAACTAACTTGTTCCACCTGGTGCCACACGATGTCATGTCAACTTTGCTTTGTTCAACCATGATTGTAAGGTCTTTTGTTCGGCACTGCGCGGATGGCACAGCTGAACTAGACTCGGCGACAAATGTCGAACCGCGGTCATAGGACGTTAATGTTTCAAGAGTTTTGAGGCGAGCGCAGTGTCAGTTTATCTAAGGCACTGTTAATGGGTCCCACATTTAACGTTTACGAGCTACGTCCAGTGTTTTTTTGCTGATTATCAGACGTGTCCCTTGACTGACCACAGTTCTCAGTTTTTTCGCTCACTGTCCCGAGGCGATAATAGTGATGTTGTTCCTAAGCTCGCCTAGCACTTCACCAAGTAAGAATGTGAATAGTCTCCTTCCTTTCAGTTGCGTAGTGGTGGATGAACCATCTGGCATGCTCAGTGCCGAGAAACAGCTAGTTCTCTGTCTTGACGCGGCACTTGGATTCTGGATCGATGGTATCTTACAACTTCTGTCACATTCATCTCAGTAGGCTTGACTTCTCGTCACAGTTACTTTGACGGGTCACCACGTCAAAGGCGGTGATCCGAAAGCCCAAACGAACACCAATGCTTTCACTCTTTTTTTATCTGCCCAGTTTTGTCTGTGCCCCAAAATCACTGTGTCATTTCAACTGTCCACCGTTTCAGGTGTCCAACTTTTCGGAAGCTTTCTGCGGACAGGAACTCGTGTGAGACACCCAGTTATCAGCGTGAAGAAAGCTAGTTTACTTCATTCCGGAAATCCCAATTCACTTGTTCGCTTGTTCATCATCCATCTTAAACTCCGTTGTTTTTGCCACCGGTTTCTAGTCGCCACCCATGTTACACTCATCTATCGTTCGTATTTGTTTGCGTGTACGGGTGCTAGTCACAATTCTCACCTGCGTCGTTAGCCTCATCGCTGCTTTTGCTTCGACTGTATCTTCCTCGCTGTGATTGGGTCTCTGTGTGTGTGTGTGTGTGCGCGCTCGCAAACGATTTGCCCATTCAGTCGTCTTTTTTATCGGTTCAAGTTCCATTAGCCCGATTTTCTTTCTCTCATTTTATCAGCTTCTTCTCTTCATCAACGGTGCCGTGCTTCTCGGTGTCGTCTAGTTACAACGACCCTTTCCCCCCCCGTGAGCGTTCATCACGTGACGGTTGCAATTTTGTACACATCCGGACATGAATTAACCAAAATCGCCTCCACATTTTTGCTTTTGTCTTCGCACTGGCTAACCTTGAGTCCGATTTGTTTATATTGGTCTAACTCTGACTGTAAGAACTGATGAAATCTGGACCTAAGCTGGTCGAGCCAGTGGGACGTGACGAACTAATTGTGGTTGCACGTGCAACCCACCAACGCCGGTGCTAACCCGAGAGAACTAGGTCGGCGAGGAAATGCGCTTAAATGTGGTCAGATAAGACCGGATTATGGTTGTTTGCTGAGCTTTGCAGTTGGGCGACAAACGTTTCATCATCAGTCGAGTTGAAATCGTCACTCAATCCCCCCGCATTGACAATGTCACTCCGATTGGTGATGAAACGTTTGCAATCCAACTGCCAAGTTCAGCAAAAAAAGACAAACAACTTGAGCTACCTATATTTCGCAACGTCGCCCTGGACAGATTGTGGAAGCAAGTCCATGGGATCTAAACAGGCTACTCATTTTGACTACTCGGACGTATCGTTCACTGAGGTGCTCGTTACTGGCCTCGTAGCCCATATTGAAAGGCGAGGCATATTCATTAGGCCTACGATCAACAAGACGTTTGCGCCCAGCCGAATGAAATTCGTAATAAAAAGATAATCGTTCAGTTGTAACACCCTTTCGGTGCCTAGCTGCCATGCTACCAGAAGGAAGCACGAGGGCTGGGATACTGCCAGGTTGCCCAAGTCTAGACAGGGGAAGTCGAGAGGCACAGGTCGGGTTCGAACCATGGACCTTCCGGTCGGTAAATTCACGCTCTAACCACTGGGCTATCTCGCCAATACATCTACGACTCATGGGTTTTGATCTGTGTGATGGGACAATGATCATGCGATCTAAGAAGTGGACGATCCAGAAGCGTCTCTCCAAAATGGTGCCTTTCATGTTGTTCGGCTGTAGGCAGACCTGAGTTTATAGTCAATTGGAAATGTAGTCTCACATTCATCCACATATTTCCGCACTGTCGTGCTACTAAAATCGCCCGGTTAGTTCGTCGCTTGAAGCAAGAGAAATGACAGTATGCTGTCCAAACAGTAACACAAAGGGGCCACCACACAACTGCATTCGAATGTCAACCTTGACAGTGATCTAAGTGATATTGGCCAGCTTTCGAGCCAACACGTCGAGAGCCTGCAAGGAGCAGATGGTTTGACGGTCTGTTTTCATGTCACTCAATCCGTCGTAAGTGCTGATTGATTTTGAGTACTTTTGTGTGACAGGTGTTATCCGAACTTGTGGTTGACATGCATGGGTTTGTTCTAGAAGTTGCGCAGTTTCGTTTGTTTTATGCCTCTGATTCAATTGACAGTGCAGATGAGGGTTGTTGCAACTATGACGTCAGTCGGCAGTCACGGGTATTGTTGGTAGTGTGAGGAGATTTGGGATTTTTGCGGAGATTTCATCCTGTAAGTGAAGCCAATCTATGCTGAAAAGCCGAGAAGCACTGTACAGCTGTTTCATCCTTATTGGGAATCATCAGCAG